GCAAAAAGAGGAGGATTAGCATGGATATTAGCTCAGGGCTGATCTTCCTCACAAAAAAAAAAAAAAAAAGATGGACAAATACAAATGACAATAAACATATTCAAAGCTGCTCAAACTCACTAGAAACTGAGGATACGTAAGTTAAAATGGGATACTATTTTCACTATCAGATTAACGAAAACATAAGAGATTGATGCTATCAAGTATTGGCAATGGAATATAAAACAGGAAATCTCAGAATCTGGTCAGGGAAGCATAAATTGGTATGGCTTTTGGGTGAGCAACCCAGCAGTTAAAAAATTTAAACATGTCTCCCCTTCAACCGAGCACTTATCCTCCAGGTACCCACCCTAGGGAACCACTCACACATATACACAAAGGAGCACGTACAAGGGCCTGTTGACTGTCAGCATGGATCTGTTATACTCAATTATGGCAAATTCTCAACAGGACATACTATGGGCAAATTTAAAAAAATAAGAAAGAAAGGTGGTTCTAAATGAGTAGCTCTCAACCCTAGCCACACTTCAGAATCACCAGGAGCTTTTGAAGTCTGGGGCCTCAGCCCAGAGATTCTGACTTAATTCGTCTGGGTGGAGGAAAGGGACGGGTAATTTTTTAAAGTCCCCTGGTGGTACTAATAGGAAGTCAGGGCTGAAAACTATCTGTACTGACTTGGAAAGTGCTTCATGACTTTAAACAAAAAATCTATAGGGCCATATGAACAGTATGATAACATTTATGTGTTTTTAAAAAAATAACAACATATGTAAAAAAATATATAAAATTATTATATATGTGTGTGTATACATACGCATGCACATGCATGCACACACCCACCCACCCATCCATCATAATATACATAAAATAGTCTAGGAGAATACACACCATGCCCGTGACAATGTTTACTTCTTAGAAAGTGGGGGATGGGGAGGTGTTGGCGCAAATCTACAGGAACAATGGATTCATCTCATTGTTTAATACTTTAAGAATGTATTTATCTATGCTAATTAAATCATGGGATAATTTGGACCTCTTGATTTAATTAGGCAACTAACATTATATTTGCATATGCTCCAATGCCATGCTTAAATTATTTACATAGAAATCAACTAAGTGGATTAAATTTTAAAATTCTAAAAACCAAATTCTACTTAATTGATATATATAAAAAGCACCCTTGTACAGTGCTCTATAAGCTGAGGGGTCTTGCCAACTGCCCTGGTAACTGTATAGTTAGAGTAGTGATTCTCAGGGCCCATCCAACCTTATCAGAGCCCCTCATCTGACCCCGCGCCCTGTACCACTGTTACTGCTTTCGATAGAATTTTCATATGAAATGACTCAACGATTTAACAAAAAAGGTTAATTCTTATCAATGAGAGAAATAAGGAAAAAAACTGGAAAAAGAGAACGTCAAAGGACCATTGGCTTATGCTGAGGAAGCAAGTGCCATTCAGTTCTCTGCGTTCCCAAGTCAAGAGTACAGCAGACAGCCAGCTGCCTCCCCATAGCCTTTCACCTCTCCTCCTTCTATTTTAATGGGAGATCACAATGTGTCCAGCTTAAAAAAAAAACACATTTCCCAGCCTCCACTGCAAACAGGGGTGGCCAGGTGACACAGTCCTACCACCAACAGATATGCAGAAGGAAAGTCTGTTAAAGGGGCACAGGCTTGACTGGCTTGTCCCCTCTAACCCTTCACTTTTGTCTTCACTGTTCCCCTCCTGCCTGCCTAGAACACGGATGTAATGGCTGGTGCTCCAGCATCCATCCTGTGAGCACGAGAGGAAGGATCACACCTAGGAATGCTGGAGCGTAAGGACAGGAGCCTGGGTCCCTATCGACACTGTGGCATTGTGGCACCAGCTCTGGACTGCCTTACCCCTGGACCTCTGGTTACATGAGAGAAAACAATAAAGCTTCTGCTATTTGGGCTTTCCATTACATATAGCCAAACTTAAACCTTAACTAATACAGAGGGATAATTCTAGATAAAGCCAGTGGATTCTAGATCAGGATAAGGAAGACCATAGAGCAGGGGTGGGCAAACTACGGCCTGCAGCAGGCCCAGTCCAGCCATGACCATTCTTTTATGTGCTGTTGATGGCTGCTTTTGTGTGACAACAGCAGAGCTGAGTGACTGCGATAGAGACCTAGAGACCATCTGGCCCACCAAGCTGGAAATATTTACTATGTAGCCTTTAACAGAAAACATTTGCTGACTCCTACTACAGAGGGTCCACTCATAACTGTAGCAGCACCAGGAGGCAAGAGCATTTCCTGAAGACCCCCAGTACCACTGCTCACCCCCACACCTGAACGGCCAAAAAATCATCCCTCACCAACTGGGGTAAGGAATCCCGGTACTTGCTATTTAATTGGTTCACAAAGCATCGGATGATCCAGTAACAGTCGACACTATCTTCCACCATCTCTTCCATGGCTTTAGCAATGGCAAGAAATACTTCACCTTCTGGCTCCTGAAAGATTGATAATAAATCTCAAGAGGGAGGCAGCAGAAGAAAGGAATACATATTTCTTTAATAAAAATGAAACCTTGCCCCCTAAATTCTGAAGAGGCTGCATTAATAAATCAAAGTGGGACCAAAAAAGCACACGGTCCATCATTAGAAAGCAGACCAAGCGGGAGATGAGGAGGAAGAAGCAGAGAAATCTATCCGCATCAGTGCTGCTTACAAAGGCCCAGTCCTCAGGCTGAGCACTCAGAGATTTTCCCAACTTCTAACGTTAAGGCCACCAAAGAGTAACATAAATCATAAACAAAGGGCTGACTCCCTCTACTCAAAAACATTCTCAGTGCTAGAGGAGAATTCCCTTCAAAAAGATGTGATAAACAGTACAAATAATAATTGGAGACATTTGTCAATACAGTAATTTGCAAAAATTAAATGACTCCAAAAAGACTAATTAAGCATTTATTTCAAAGCATTCATACATACCTTTAGAATTTTGCTCTACCTTTAAGTACCTAAAAAGTTAAAATGTCTCTAGAATCAGAATTTTAGGAATCAGAAGAATGGCATTTCTCAAACCTTGTGTCAATACTCAGAACATGAAAGTAAACCCTCAAGTAAATTTCAATACAGAAATCTTACAAAAAATGGAACTCACTTGAAAAATCTATTTTGTTTTTAAACATCATATGTTACACAAAAAAGCTTTACATTTTCATCTAGGACTTAATAGTGGAAGAATTTTAATGTTAAAAAGAAACTAAAAAGTGTCTTTCTACTCTCCTAAAATGTCCTAAGTTAAATCAAAATTCCTATTTTAATAATGTATTTCATTTTAGGCCTCTTTTCAATTTATTCATATTCTATAAAATGTCAAGAGTAACAGAGTTGGAATTGCAGACAATAAATTTCTCTACGCGTTTGTTAATGTGTCAGAGGCGGCGAGAAAAGAAAAGAAGGAAAGAGACAAGAAGTCTCCTTTCCTGGCCTCCCACCAGGATGGGGCATCGCACTACTGCCCCCACCACTCTGAGAGGCCAGGGAAGAGGACCGACGTCCTTCAGCTGACCATGTTCCCAGCCCTGTGCTACGTACTGTCACACACTCTTATTACAGATAAGAAAAATGACGCTGAGTGTGGCTTGGTGACGGGGAGACATGGGGTGGCAGAGCTCAAAACAAACACTTTGGCAGCATGTCTGCCCGAGGCTGCAGGAAAGGTGTCTGGGCTTGCAGCATGGACAAGCTGAGTTGGGAAGAGGTGGAAACTAGAACCTATTATTTAGATTTCTTGAGTAAATAGAAAACCTAACTTAATTTAATATATAATTTAAGAAATTGTGTAATACCACTAACTTCACTTTGCCAATGATAAACGAAATTTAAAGAAGTTTGTTAAGAGTTCCAATTATTTTCAGGAACGTTCTCTCTTGATAAACTTAATAAAAGTGGGCGACCTAAGGTTTGTCCATGGGAACCATGTCATTAACTTCAAAAAGAAAGAACAAGTCAAAGCACAAACTGTTGTACTGGTGGTTGCAAGCTGCAATAAAAAAAAAATTTATAGAATAGCACAACTTACCGGCAAACCCGTTTTGAACAATTCACTCTATTTTAGCAAAAAAAAAACACAACAAAACAAAACATTAAAATGACTAGAGTGAACTGCAAATAAAATAGCCAAAGCCCAAGAGCCATCATCATTCCTTTCTGTGTCCTCTTCCTCTTACCCCTCTTTTTCCTTTACAGACAATAAGTAATTCAAGTAACTAGAATAAGGAGTCTGTCAAACATGAAATTTAAAAAGCAAGTTGAGGGGGCTGCTCTGGTGGCACAAGCGGTCAGCGCCCCAGTGTTCGCAGGTTCAGATCCTGGGCACGCACCGACGCACCGCTTGTCAGGCCATGCTGTGGTGGCGTCCCATATAAAGCGGAGGAAGACGGGCATGGGCCAATCTTCCTCAGCAAAAAAAAAGAGGAGGATTGGCATCAGATGTTAGCTCAGGGCTGATCTTCCTCACAAAAAAATAAAATAAAATAAAATAAAATAAAATAAAATAAAAATCAAGTTGGGGCCTGTGGGCCTGAGGTCAAGGAGGGGTCAAGGCCAAGTAGGCGGCCAAGGACCGCAGGGCCAAGAGGCAGCTGGCAGTATTGGTTACATACAGAGGAATGAGCAAAGAAGTAAACATATTGAGGATAATGGGAGCCTTTTCATATTTGCAACTGTCAGAGAAGGAAGTTGCAAATATAGAAAGGGTGAGGGCTGGAATGAACTTGTGACACTGGATTGAAAGGGAGGTATTAATGTGAACTCAGGGTTTTTAATATGTAGAGATAAATAGATGTATAAACATATAGAGCTATGTGTTAATATGTGTGTGTGTATACATACATCTGTTTCCCAGCTCTGTCTGCTGAGAGGGCCTAGAAGCAATGACACACAGGAACTATGAGCATAACTAGCCCCCTGTTCTTGGTTTCTACATACCCTACTCCATTCAAAAAAGAAATGGCTGATCCCAGACCTAGGGTAGGGTAAGAACAAGACGAGTCTGGAATATCTTTTTGTGCCAGAAAGTAAAAAAATGCTCAAAAGGATGAGAACTTGTCAAAAAGACAGAAGTCAGCTTGAATGGGCTCCCACTGGCCACAGCTCGGACAATCTGAACACCAAAAGAAATAACGGTAGTAATGGATTATAGGCCACTGAATAAAAGTGGAATCCATAACTTTATATTGCTATAAATCAATAAATGGTAGAGAAGGGAAAACTCTTCCTTATAAAAGAATGCCAACTAATAAATGCAGAAAAAAGGAAGGAGTTAATCACCATTTGGCAAGCAGCGTAGTACAAATTTTTTCAGGCAAGGTTCATTAGTGGATGGATAGTTACATAGTCTCAAAGTACCTCCCCACAAGTTACTTATTAATTACAAAGGGAAAAATAGCAACCTTATATGGGAGAAACCCGGCAGCCACCACCTTAACCAAGTGATCAAAGTCAGCAGCAACAGAAATAAGTATCACACTTCTGTGGTATTCCTGCCAAAAACGCATACACAGATTTTAATCATGAGGAAACAACAGACAAACCCAAACTGAGAAACGCTCTACTGCCCAATACTCTTCAAAAGTGTCAAGGTCATGAAAGACAAGGAAAACTGAAGAACTGTTCCAGATTAAAGGGGACTAAGAAGACACGGCAATAAATGTAATTTGTGATCCTAGATTGGACCCTGGACCAGAAAAAGGACATCAGTGGGAGAATCAGCAAAATTTCAATAAGGTCTATAGATCAGTTCATAGTATTTATCAATGCTGATTTTCTGGTTTTGATAATTATACTATGGTTATGTAAGATGTAATATCTGAGGATGTTAGGTGAAGGTATGTGGGAACGTTATACTATTTTTGCAACTTTTTTCTATGTCTAAAATGACTTTTAAATGAAGAGTTAAAACATTAAAAAAAATTTTAAATCATCAACAAATGGTAAAACCAGTGGGTAAAAGCTTGATAAGAAAGTTCGATAAGTTCGAAACCAAAACTTTTATGGTTTGTTTGTTTGTGATAAAGGGCATTACTGGGACAACTGGTCAAATGTGAATGAAGTCTGAAGATTGGATGTTAATATGGTATCAATGTCAACTTCTTGGTTTCAATGACTGTACTATGGGTACCTAGGGGAGTGTCCTTATCCTAGGAAGTATAAACTGAAGGAATCGGAAGTAATGGATATCATGACTGCATCTTACTCTCAAATAGGTTAGAAAAAAATACGTACACACACATAGGAAAAATGACAAAGCAAATGTAGTAAAATGTTAATGGTTGCGGAACCTGGATAAAGGGTATATGGGAATTCTTAGTAGTATTCTTGAAACTTTTCTGTAAGTTTGAAATGACTTAAAATAAAATGTATTAAAAAAAATAGGCAGATTGGGTCAGAAGGTACAGGGCCATGAATGCCAGGGAAAGATGTGTTGTTTTTACTCTACAGATAAAGGGGAGCCACTGAAAGTTTCTAGGGCAAAACATGATGCAATCAAAGCCTGGCAAGGTGGGATGGTCTAGAGTTGAGCTAAGTGTTAAACGTCCCACTGACCAGCGGAAAGGAGGGACTTCGAGGCAACTTCCCAGACTCCAGCTGATACATGCGGAGAAAGACTTCAACCTGGGGTGTGGCATCACTGACAAAGCGAATGACTTTCAGGGCATGAAGGACATCAGAGTACTGCTCCTTGCGATACATCATCACCTGGGCATGGGACTCGTGGTGTGGAGGCAGGATCCCTATACAGAGACCCAGAAAAAAAAAAAGAAAGGCAAAATACTGAGGCACCAATCCAAGTCCCTCCTCTGTTAAAGAGAATCCTGTGTGAAGCTGCCCAACACAATTCGACTATAACTTACACAAATATTTAATTACCATACAGATTCTCTTTTAGAAATTCTCACTATAAAACAATCTTAAATTTCAAATACTATTGATATTTGAATGGCAACTGCATCACTGCTATTAAAGAAAAATGAAATGGCATCACAAAGCCCTTCAATAAGTGTGCCACCTAAATTCAAGATAATAACCACATCAATTATAATGATGATTTAATTCAATTTATGGTTATGAGCCTGGGGCCACCCTTAGCTCCTAGAGGACTATCTCTAGTTTTTCCACTTGGCCACTGCTTTGGACTAAATTGTGTCCTCATAAAATTCATATATTAAAGCCCTTTCTCCCAATGTGACGGTATTTGGAGACAGGGCCTATAAGGAGGTAATTAAGGTTAAATGAGGCCCTAATTATATAACGGTTATAAGGGTGGGGCCCTAATCCAATAGGGCTGGTACCCTTGTAAGAAAAGGAAGAGCTATCAGAGCTCTCTCTCTCTCTCTCTCTGCCCTGTGAGGACACAGCAAGAAGGCGGTCACCCTCAAGCCAGGAAGTGAGGCCTCACCAGGAACCAAATCAGCCAGCACCTTGATCTTGGACTTCCCAGCCTCCAGAACCATGGGAATATAAACTGTTGTTTAAGGCACCCAATCTGTAGTATTTTGTTACAGCAGCTCTAGCTGACAATACAGCCCCCCTCACCTCAGAACCACCAACAACCCTTCGAATCCTTCTCTGCCCCAATACTTAAAACTTGCTCACAAAGTCTCCTATCTTCAGGACCACAGAAATCGCCAATCTTCACTGACAAGACCACCTTACGTTACATTTCGATGCCATTTTACATTCACTATCCATTTAAATATAACGTCTACCCATTAGGCTTTGGAGCAAGAACCACATCTTTTTTATAAACAAGTGGCATGCAGAAAACACAGGAAAGAGTGCTGGATAGGCCTTCAGTAAACCTAGGTTCCAGTCCCAGATCTGATAACACCAGGGCTCTCACAAACGTCTCTCTGGGCACCTGTTTCCTCATCTGTCAGAGGTGGAAATGGGATAGATAAGCATTTCACCAAATGTTCTTTGCAGAACATTAGCCCCAAGAGTCTTCATGAGAAAGGGGTACCGTGGTCAAATAGATTTGGGAAATAGTAACAAGGAATTTTCAAGGCTCTAAGTTTTGTTATAAAGAAGAACACCTTACTTTATTTACTTCAGCCTCTTTAAACTTAATGAGACTGTACGGCAGCACAGACTCTGGAGTCAAAGTTCCTGGGTTTGAATTCTAGCTCTACAATTAACTGGCTGAGTGACTGTCAGCAACTTACTTGAGCTCCCTATGCCTTAGGTTCTCCATCTGAAAAATGGGAATAATAATACCTATCTCATACAGTTGCTGTCATGAATAAAAAATTAACATACATAAAGCACTTAGAAAGTATATGCCACATACTAAGCCAGCATAAGTGTTAGCTAGTACATTTGACTATGGATCACTCTTTGGTGCAAAAAACCACAAATCCAGTATTCTAAAGAATAAAAGTTGGATGAGCTCTAAAGACTCTAGCTAACGTGATGCCATGTTAATGTTAGAACCAAACTTGCTTAAATGTTCTTTTTCCTAACACAAATCTTTACTTACCTTAGCTATGGGGTTCTGTGCCAGGCTTCCAGAAAAGCCAAGGGAATACACTACAATGTCCTCCAAATCTGGGCTAATACAGATTAAATAGCTGTAGTTAAACCCTCATCATACTACTAGAGGCAGCACAGCACTTCTCATGTTAAACTCAAACTTATTTTCTAAGAGCTAGTCCTAAAAATCTCTTTCTAATATCTACCCAACATGGTATCAGGAAGCAGGCATGCCAAGGTCCCTGAGTAATCAACAACCTGTGCTAGGAAGAGTCAGCCTGTCTCCTACACGGTTGGCATCTCTAAATCTCTAGTGCCTTTAACTACCTCAAAAATAACAACAAAGACTTGCTGATAAAGGCAGGTCAGCAAAACAGAGGTGATAAATAAGGCTTGGCACTCAGGAAGTGCCACAAAGTACAACTATACACCTCTCACTAGTCCACTGGTATTACTAATTAATAACACACACAGTATTTTCCAGCAGAAATAGATAATATCGACATTACCACCTAAAAGGCATCCTGTGGAAGGCATTCATTTTGATGGCCACTGGAAACACTAAAATTTAAGGAAAAAATGCCCAGGGAAAAACTAAAATAGTTGTCACCTATTCTCTAGATTTTAACTGCCCAGTGACCTACTAGAAATATAAGAGTACAAAGATTGCCAAGACGCATTAAAAAAGTCATTATGCTGTGCTTCCTAATATGGTTTGTATTTCCTCGCTGCCTCCATATTACAAAATCAGATTTAGAATGGCAGATTTCTCAAATCCTGAAAATATAGTACATTTCGGAAAGAAAACGAGGTCTATAATCTATCCTACCTTCAAATGGGCTCTACAAACCCCAGCTAAAATCCTTGCTCTGCGATTTATAGGCTATAAGGCCTTAGGCAAGTCATAGAGCCTTGCAGTCTTTTCCTCATCTGTAAAATTGGGGTATTGATACTTACCTTATAGGGGAACTCTGGGATTACCATAAGATTTTTTTTTTAAGAAAGAAAGGAGGGTGGTAATGGACGGGTACTATGTGTGTCACCAGGCTCAGCAATGATTAACAAAAAAAACCTTTGGTTCAAAGGGGTGCTGCCAGTCACTTGTGGCACCTAATACACTTTTTCTTCCATAAAAATGGAGCAAGATCATGCTCCCTTCTCCTTCAGCCATTCATCACTGGAATTTACTCATGTGCACTTCTAGGAAATAAAAACTCTCCAATCCCTTTTTGACTCCGATAGCACTCATTAGAAAATTATACATGTACCACTGGGAATCACAGAATCTAACAAATTGAGAGCTAAAACCTAGGAGTTAATTTAGCTCATATCTTCATTTTACAGATGCAAAAAAATGAGGTCTAGTGGGGTCTTCCTCAAGGTTACCCACTTGACAGTAAAGCCTAGACTAGTTCTTTCTCCCAGTACAATGCTCTTCCTACACCTTGTCTCGGGAACATCCGTTACTTTCTCTTCTATCATTAAGAAACTGACACTGGGGCTGGCCCGGTGGCACAGGGGTTAAGTGCATGCACTCCCTTTCGGCGGCCCGAGGGTTCACAGGTTCGGATCCGGGCACACACCAAAGCACCGCTTGTCAGGCCATGCTGTGGCGGTGTCCCATATAAAAAAAGTAGAGGCAGATGAGCACGGATGTTAGCCCAGGGCCAATCTTCCTCCACAAAAAGAGGAGGATTGGCATTGGATGTTAGCTCAGGGCTGACCTTCCTCACAAAAAAAAAAAAAAAAGAAACTGACACTCTTAGAGTAATATTTAATGTATTACCACTGAAGTCATCTTTTTAAAGGCTTTCATAGTGAGCAATAATTCAGTCTCCTGAGGTTAGACCCAATATTCAGTAAAGGGCCTAAACAAACCCTCCTTTTTCTGACTGATAAGATAAGAAATGATCCCATCATTCAACATTTTTGAAGATAAATCTTCCAACTCTTGGGTCTCATACCTAGAAGCACCTTCCATACCAATGCACGGTACATGGACGGGAGAGGGAACCTCTGACTAAAAGTACAAAGTTTCTCAATATCTAGAGAAAGAAAAAAACAATTAGAAGCTTTTCATGGTGATCACAATATGTAAAAGTGCATTTCATTTTTTAAAACTTAAAGTATAGTAAGACATTTCTTCAGAGGAAGTCTACTATACTGTCAATCTAGTAAAGGCAACACTGGTGTGATTTCTAGCCCAGGTGTTCCACCAACCAGCTATTTAAAAACAACTAGGTTTCACAGCATAGGAGATGCATTTTGCATATATTACTACATTCCCTATAACATTAGCAGTAGTTACTATTTATAGATTTTATTTCATTTAATCCACATTGCAAGCTTGTTGAGTAGTTATTGTTTTAAAGATGCAGAAACTGAAGCTCAAAGCAGTTAAGTGACTTGGCTGAGTTAACATAGCTAGTGAGTGGCATAGACAGCCCTCTAATCCCCACATTTTCCAAAAAACCACACTCAACTGTCCTGGACCTCAATTCCCCTACTTGTCAAATGAGAATAATAATACCAGACATACTTAAAGCACAGACTGTCTAGTAAGGATCAAAGATCAGATGGGACATGTTCTTGAAATTTTAAAAGCACTCTGTGCATATAAAGTACTATTTTTAATATGGTTCAGTTTATTTTACTTTAGTCAACAACAGAACAGACCTTATTATTACTGGCTTAGAAGAAACTAAAATGTCAATACATAATGCAGTCTTAGTATTTCCATGAAAGAAAATCCTGGCAAGAGTTGCTGCAAACTTACCCAGAAGCTATGATGACACTTCTAAAAAATTTGAGAAAAGAAAATATATGGGTCTTATACGAGAAAAAATATTATTGACTTCTTAAGAGGTCTTTCAAAAACGTCCAACTCTATCTCAGGGAAATATAAACTTGAAAAATCCATAACTTCTCCTAAAATAGCCCATTCTGCTGTCATCCTATCACTAAATATAGCAGGTAACAAACACCTCTGGATGTCTTTTAAGGTAACATTTATTTCCGAACACCTGAGATGACTGAGAACCAATAAACTTAACTTATAAAACTCACCCAGACGGTCATCTTTTAGGAGAATTTCTAATGATTTCTTTTCTTCAACTCCACGAAACCCCACTTTCTCATAATATACTGAACGAAAGTTTCTCTGTGAGTCCTCAGTCATGTTTCATTCTTGGAGGAGAAACAGAGTAGGGATGGGAAAAAGTGAGCATAGAAACAAAGAATGAAGAACTGATAAATTTTTCAATGATTTTCTCCAACTTTTTCAGCAATCTGATATACTATGATCAACTGCCTGTCCTTGCGTAGGACTCAATATTAAATCTTCCCTTTTTCACAACTCTAACACCACCTCACCTATGCACCTTGGCCAAAAACCAAGACATAAAAGAAAAGTCCTCTGAGCTGCTAAAACAGATGGCACAAGGTTCACGCACTAGGGCTCCTACTTTACCTATGATAGCACCCAGCCATTATGCCCGTTCAAAGAAAAAAATTAGTGAAATAAGCAGACAAGATCTCATGCAAAACTGATTACCAAACAGTATACACTATGATTCTGTGTTTGTTTTTACAAATATTGTGCCTAAAAGAAAATGAGACTATATTCTGAAATGTTAGCAATGGTTAGTTTTAGGTAGTATCAGTCCAGATGACTTCAATTTTATTTCTTTTGCTTAGCTGTGTTTTCTAAAATGGGCATTTTGTAAAATGAAAAATTAAGTGATAAAAAAGTAAAAAGCAACAAGTTCCTCACTTAGCTTTCTTTTCCTTTAAAACCAATCCTATCAAATGTAATAATCAAAATTCAAAACCCATAACAGATGAACAGCATTAAATTATAAACCAGAAAAGGGGCAGGAATGTAGCCGGTTGACAAGTGCTGCCACAGAGCTGGAAACAGAATGACGACTTAAAATCTGGCATCAGAATTCAAAACGTTCAGCAGTCTCAGGTTCTTTCACAATAACCTTCATAAGACCGACGGCAACTCACCAAGAAAAAGTCCAATTAGATTGGTAATCTCGGCCAGCCCCGTGGCTTAGCGGTTAAGCGCTCATGCTCCGCTACTGGCGGCCGGCAGGGGTTCGGATCCCAGGCGCACACCGACACACCGCTCTCCGGCCACGCTGAGGCCGCGTCCCACATACAGCAACTAGAAGCATGTGCAACTATGACATACAACTATCTACTGGGGCTTTGGGGGGAAAAAAAGGAGGAGGATTGGCAATGGATGTTAGCTCAGAGCCGGTCTTCCTCAGCAAAAAGAGGAGGATTAGCACGGATGTTAGCTCAGGGCTGATCTTCCTCACAAAAAACAAACAAACAAACAAACAAAAGACTGGTATTCTAAGAATAGAACTGCTGTGATGCATTTCCCAAAAAGTACTGCTCTGCCCAACCCAAATGTTTAAAGTATTGCTGCAAAAGAGTATAATCCTCAGGTTTCAGAAATCCTGAGATCTCCCCACTGACCAGGGGAGGACTGAGTTCCAGACAACCAAGATATTTCTTAATGAAAAGATATGCTCCCAGCCGATTCAGTCACAGGAAAGATTAGGATTTGTTTAAAATGAGAAATTCCAAAGGGTTCTGAGTTTTGGGGACCAAATGGTTTTTCGAAACAAAATTCCAAAGCATTAAAATGCTAAATGGGTTCAGGGATTTATTTAAAAGAAGCATCCACACGGCGATCCGATGCCTGCTGTCTAAGAACACCATTCTCAGAATGCATTCCAACGGCAAACGTGGCCTCTTGGACGAAACACTGTAAATTACATTCCTGCCTATGAGCGTCCACCTGACAGCACAGTAAACACACCCTGGTCCAAGACCCCAGGTCCCACGCTCGCTAGTATGCTTCACCTCCAGTAGTGGAAACCACACCTGGGTGGAGAGTAAGCGGTCCCGGGCAGGCAGCGGAAACCGGGCCCGGCGCGCTGACCCGCCAGCGGGCAGGCGGGAGACGCGGCGTCCGCCAACAGTCAGGGGGCGAGCGCGCCAGAGGCGGGCCTGCCGGACAGACGTAAGCGGCAGGACACCCACGCGCCGCGCCGCACGCCGCAGAAACAGCACCTCACCGCCGCCGTGGTCGCCGCCGGCGGACGTGACGTCAGCCCGAGGGGCAGTGCGGAGAGTGCGCGTGCGTCAAAAGCATGCGCGGAAGCGCCACGCATGTCGTGGGGTCTTGCGCTATGAGGCCCAGACGTCAGAGATAGTGGAACGCGCTTTCGTCAGGCGGCTAGTTCTCCTGGTGGTGACGCTGGTGCCCAGCACCTGTCCGTTTGCACCCCCGACCCACTCTGGGTCCGGAGAATCTCGCGACTACCTTACCTCGGCTGTCCTGGCGGTGCGTGCCGCGGTTGCTCTCCCCTCCCCTGCCCTGGAGGTCTCCGCGTGGAGGCGACCTCCGAGCCCCGAGACTGTCTGCTGTGGAGGACCCTTGTTTTGTTTTTTATTTCCTTTTTTTTTTTTTTCGGTACTTGGAAATAAATGGAGAGCAACCAAATGAGAGATGCAAAGGCAGTTGATTCAGAGCTTGCTATGCAAGGGAGTTGGCCACCATCACTTGCGTTTTGACAGAGACTCAAAGGCAGGCAGAGGAGCGGGAAAGGCTGATAGTGCAAGAAGGGAAGGCCTCAGGTGTGCCCTGATTGGAGTTTCTCCGTCTGGGGAAGCTGTAGGTAGACTAATTAGGAAAGGGGCATCCTATGTGATTGTCAGCCATGTTTGGCCTCTCTGGTTGGTCCTAAGTTGGAAGCAGGGGCAAAAATTAGGGAAGCTTTCAGTTATTAATCAAGTCACTGCCATTTGGGGCCAATTGTTACAGTAGTTATTGTTTAGCTTCCTGGATTGTTACTAAACTAGCAATCTGGCTTCCTGCAACTCTAATTTACAGCAGCTTGGAAACTGATTATTGTAGATAAGGGGTTTTTAGGCAGGTTGCTGCAGGTTGTGGGTCAGATTCTATTTTTATATATGCTTGTACCACTGTTTATATATTAAGCCTCTCAGGTAAAATACTATAAAGATACGTTACATGAAAAATGAAGTTTAAAAACAAGATATACTAAAGCCCCAATTTATTTGATTCAGCAGACATAAAATCACTCTTTAAAATGGCCATCAAAGTTTATATACACTTTCAGTTCCTCTCCTTATCTTGTCACAGACCAGCACCGGTCCCGGGGACATCCCTCTGAGCAGCACTGCCTGAGTGAGTTTTTAAATCACTGCAGCTTGAGAGGAACCACCTAGAGAAAAGTTGGTTCAGCGGTGGGTGCTGCCTCCTTAAAAGCCAGAATCTGTACAGAACAGACCACACAGAGGCCAACCTCTAGACAGAAACTTAGGAGTCAACCCTGCACAAGTCAGTCCAGTTACAGTGTCGGTAAGTTTGTGGTGCCATGGCTAGACAGAACTTTTTAAAATAAAGAAGGATGTGGTGGTTGAACTCAAACATTTATGCTCCTCCCAACCCCCATACCATCACGATCTTTAGTTCCTCAGTACTGGGGTAATAAGCATTATTTAGGCAGTGTTTCTTTGCATGAGTAAACAGTTCTTCAAGTTACAGCTTTCAAGAATTCCATTTACTTCATCTAAACCTTGGACCAGTCACTGACTTTTACAATCTCCTTTTTCTTGTCTCTAAAATTGAGCTACTGGTGCTGACAATATCATAGAGGTGTTGGAAGGATTAAATCAGAAAGTATGTAAAGTGCTTGGCACAGAGCCTGGCACGTGGCACAGTGAGGATGCGTGAATTGGCTGCTGTTAGCTACATGGTGACAGAATATGGTTGCCTTTAACTGCTTTTCCCTGTGCTTTTTGATGAGCCAGTAAACAGAATATTTGGAAGCTTCTTTAGGAAATAAATCTGTTGGAGACTATTCTTAACACTGCAGCCAGAGTGACCCTTTAAAAATGTCCCTCCTACTCTCATACACTGTTGGTGGGAGTGCAAACTGGTGCAGCCACTATGGAAAACAGTATGGAGATTCCTCAAAAAATCAAGGATAGAACTACCATATGATCCAGCTATTCCACTGTTGGGTATTTATCCAAAGAACTTGAAAACACCAATTTGTAAAGGTACATGCACCCCTGTGTTCATTGCAGCATTATTCACAATAGCCAAGACTTGGAAGCAACCTAAGTGCCCACCAAGGGACGAATGGATAAAGAAGATGTCGTATATATACACAATGGAATACTACTCAGCCATAAGAAACGATGAAATCCAGGCATTTGTGACAACGTGGATGGACATTGAGGGTATAATGCAAAGTGAAATAAGTCAGAAGGAGAAGGTCAAATACCGTATGATTTCCTTCATTAAGTAGTAGATAATAACAATAATAAACAAACACAGAGACAGAGATTGGATTGGTGGTTACCAGAGGGGAAGGAGGGAGGGAGGAGGGTGAAAGGGATAATTCGGTACATGTGTGTGGTGATGGGTTGTAATTAGTATTTTGGTGGTGAACATGATGTAATCTATGCAGAAATAGAAGTATAATGATGTACACCTGAAATTTTTACAATGTTATAAACCAGTTACTGCAATAAACAAAAAATTAAAAAAATTAAAAAAAATAAAACAGTCTATAAATAAATAAATAAATAAAAATAAAAGCGTGGAACTAAAAAGCTTTGTACATGTGGGTAGGATTGGGACTTGTGGACTTCATTCATTGTTAGGTGGTCTGGCTGGGCCGTTTTGTTGGGTGTGTCAAACTACTAGTTTCCTCCAAAAAATGTTTCCCCAGAAATGTTAACTAACCTTATTGCAGTAATCATTTTGCTATATATACAGATATGAAATCATCACACTGTTCACCTTAAATTTACATATGTTCTATGTCAATAATAACACAATAAAGCTGGAAATAAATTCTTGTAAAAAAATAAAATGCACTGTATATTTTGCTACCTCATTAAAGAAGTTATTGATAATGTAAGCTTTTCCTGAAAATACAAGGTAGTAATAGCGAACAATAATTTTTAATAATTTTCAGGTAGTTTTAAAATAGCCAAGTTTGTAAAATAGCAAAAATGCAGCTAGAGTGCAATTAAGAAATTCTGCAATTCAAGTGTCCCTATCTGATAATCAGACTGATGTCTTTTTGTTTTTTTGGTGAGGAAGATCGGCCCTGAGCTAACAGCAGCCAATCCTCCTCTTTTTGCTGAGGAAGACTGGCCCTGGGCTAACATCCATGCCCATCTTCCTCCACTTTATATGGGATGCCTCCACAGCATGGCTTGACAAGCAGTGCGTCGGTACACACCCAGGATCCGAACCAGCGAACCCCGGGCCGCGGCAGCGGAGTGCATGCACTTAACCGCTTGCACCACCGGGCCAGCCCCCAGACTGATGTCTTTTGATAGAAATATTTGAATATCAAAAGTAAACCAGTCATTCCAGAACACTGGGATAACAGTTCTTTATTTTTATATTTATATTAAATACCTCCCATGTAGAATAAACTCCATTAAGTCATTCCATGAAAACAAGCCTGAAGTACCTACTATATATACAATCCTATAATCCTATAATGGGACCAACTCTTTCTTGTAAAGAGTATAATCCTGTAAAATATCCTACATCTGTACAGTACACTCTTTGACATCGGTCTTAGAAGCATCTTTCCAAATACCATGTCTACTCAGGCAGGGGAAACAAAAGAAAAAATAAATGGGACTATATCAGACTAAAGAGCTTCTGCAAGGCAAAGGAAACCTTGAACAAAATGAAAAGACAACCCACCAATTGGGAGAAAATACTTGCAAATCATATAGCTGACAAGGGGTTAATCTCCAAAATATATAAAGAACACATACAACACAACAACGCAAAAACAAACAACCCGATCAAAAAATGGGCAGAGGATATGAACAGGCATTTTTCCAAAGAAGATATACAGATGGCCAACAGGCACACGAAAAGATGTTCAATATGACTAATCATCAGGGAAACGCAAATCAAGACTACAATGAGATATCACCTTACACCTGTCAGAATGGCTATAATTACCAAGACAAAAAATAACAAATGTTGAAGAGGATGTGGAGAAAAGGGAACCCTCATACACTGTTGGCGGGAATGCAAACTAGTGCAGCCACTATGGAAAACAGTATGGAGATTTCTCAAAAAATTAAAAATAGAAATACCATACAACCCAGCTATCCCACTACTGGGTATTTATCCAAAGAAATCAAAATCAACAATTCAAAGAGACTTATGGACCCCTATGTTCACTGCAGCACTATTCACAATAGCCAAGACGTTGAAGCAACCCAAGTGCCCATCAACTGACGAATGGATAAAGAAGATGTGGTATACATATACAATAGAATACTACTCAGCCATAAATAAAAGACAAAATGGTCCCATTTGCAACAACATGGATGGACTTTGAGGGTATTATGTTAATCGAAATAAGCCAGACAGAGAAAGACAAAGACCATATGTTTTCACTCATATATAGAAGATAAACAAACACATGGACAAAGAGAACAGATTAGTGGTTACCAGAGGGGAAGGGAGTTGGGGGGACGGCATAAGGAGTAAAGGGGAACATATATATGGTGACTGACAATAATGTACAACTGAAATTTCACTATGTTATAAACTATTATGACCTCAATAAAAAAAATCCTAGACCTGTAATGAGCAAATAAATAAATAAATAAAAAAATAAAAATGTCCCTCCTCTGCTCAAAATCCTGTGGTGGTTCCCCATTTCACTCAGGGTAAAAAACCAAAGTCTTCGTTATATGCTTCCTCTTACTTTGACCTCATCTACTAGGGGGACCTTCTCATGTTTGTTCCCTCGGGCTGAAATGCTGTTTCGCCAGTCACATGGCCTATTCCATCATCTCAATTGTGGTCAAATGTCCCCTCCAAAGGCCTACCTAAAATTGCAAACCCATTACCTGAAACTCAA